AATACAGTTTGAAAGGAGAGTGATTTGTAAAATATCCATAAAGAAAAATAAATCTGCTTACAGTTCTGTTTCATATGGGTGTTGAGAGATGTATCCATAGAGCTCCTAATGTTGCTCTCAAAGTGCACCAGATTGATGCTTTTAACTTCAACATTTAAAAAAAATCTTCCCGGGGGAGCATGCCCCCCCGGACCCCCCTAGAGGAGGTTAGGTCCCCCCCCCCCCACTTAAATCATGTCCACATGGATGGGAAACTAAATACATTTGCACACATCTTGTGTCCATATCTTTCTGTTTTGGTGGTCATGCCACAACCGTGCACGTGCATGCATGCGCGAGTCATGGTGAGATATCTGCATTAAGAGGTTGCTTTTTCTTCGCACAGCATGAAAGAAAGCTTTTTTTAAGCAGAGGTCAATAATTTGTACGGCCCTCGGAGGATGTTGAAAAAATTGAAATGACCCTTGAGAGGAAAAAGGTTCCCCACCCCTGGTTTAAGGACTCATTCCTGCACCACTCTATAAAGGAACTTTAATGGATAAAATGTGCTTCCTTATCAAGGTTCAAGGTCAAGGTTCTTTATTTTGTCATACGAACATAGCTACAGTGTAGTTATGTAGCTAAGGTATGATGCGTTTTCTCAAAACTGGTATCTTTAAACCTCCATACCTCCGTTGACAGAAGAGCGTGCGTTGTCACCGAGGGCCTGTGGGTGAGAGAGGGAGTTCGGGAGGACGTGATTGGTGCAGGGAGGGCTGCCGGCCGCGGGTGGGCTGCCCTGTGATTGGTGGGGAGAGTAGGAGTTTCTGACGGACAGCGGGCTGCTGCGGTCAGACGGGGGTTTGGGGGAGGAGGCACCGGCCGGGGGGTGTCTGGAGGAGGAGGGGGGGGCGGTGCGCCCGGAGGCCCCGGACCGGCCCATTCCGATCTCTCGAGCCCGCTGAGGGAGGGGAATGTATTTACCTTCCCTGGGAAACAAGGCGGAGGGGAGAAGTGGTCAGATGAATTCTGGGAAGTTTTCTATCAGAGACATTTCTGTGGAGCAGAAAGTAAAGGTTTAGTTATTCTGTAACTCATTCTCTTGAATTCAATTTAGATTATTATCATTTTTGTTTTAGTCGCAATATTCTCATCTTGTGTATTCATGGTATTTTTGGGTGTTTTGGCATTTGATTAACCTCGAGTCTCATGAATTTACAACTTAAACCGAGCTTCTTGCATAATATTTAGTTTATAATATTACAGGTTTTTTTTTTATTCTACGCTAAAGTGATGATGACTCACTGCAAATAAACAGAACAAAATCAATTCCACATCCAAGTCCAAGTCTATTCTAAGTGTGTAGTTTGTGTTAGCCCTTAAAATCTGATAAAAAAACACAATTTACTTATTTTTCTGATGTTTTATAAGTCTGTGCTCTTCTGGCTATTTTTAAGATATGGGCTACACAAGTCAACTATTACATCAAATGTATAAATGCAAAACTTAGAAAACACGGTGACCGAAACAAATATGGAGAAGAGGTCGAGACAATACAATTTCAAAACTAGCTCAATCCCTCCTTTCATCTAAAGCAAATTCATGTTATGATGCTTCAATTGTAATATTGTATAACGAATCTGTCCTTCAATAAACAACATATTAAAGATAATAAAGAAACCAGTGTTACCTGCCGGTGGGGATGAAGCCGGGGCTCGCCCTCTCCTCCCTCTCCCTCACCACCGAGCTGTATTTGTCCTCCTCGCTGCGGCCCTCGTCGTTCTCCAGAGAAACACGCCGGCGGTACTGCAGGCTGCCCTCGATCTCATTGGCCAGCCGAGCGGCTCGCGCTTCCCTCTGACGGAATCCCTCAGAGGTGCCCTTCTCCAAAGGCATGCTGGGAAATAAAACAGATTTTCAGTTAAAAACTATTACAAGCTGAATAAACTGTTAATAACAGGTTTAGACTGAAGGACAAGGTCGTTTGACATGCCATCAGGAGATTCATTCAATTAGAATTACAGTTAAAATGACTCCTAACCTGTTTTGCTACAATTTGCCTTGGACTTTGATAAACTACGATAAACCTCTTTCAATCATTTCTGAGATTTTATAGACCAAACGATTAATTGACTCATTAAAAATGGTCACATTAACCAATATTCAAAAATATTGTTAGTTGCAGCCCTACAATTATCATACTATTATACTTTCATATAAAGGATAAATGTTGACAGTAAAATATAATCAAAATCAATGTTTTAACAAAAATAGAAACAGATTAGAACCATCATTCACATCTGTTATGATAATGTTTTAATAGTAAAATCAAGTTTCATATTGAAATAAGTGGGATAGATATGATACAATAATAACCTATGCTCCTGTTTAAAGCTCTCTCACCAACATATCATCATAACTGATAGGAAAGAGAGTAAACTATTACAGATAATAAACCTGGGATGAAAAGTCAGGGTTTGCTTATAGTCCCGCTGAATAGTCACTTTGCCTGGAGGAGTAAAACTGACTCACGTATACATGGAGAGGCTGGAGTCGTAGGTGGACTTGACGCCGTACGTCTCCTCGTTGAACTTGAACATCTCGTTGGCATCCCAGCCGTTAGACTGAGGAAGAAAAACACATGAAAGTGAGACATTGGAAGCAGTTCCCTTGATGCGACCATATCTCTACTGGACACAGTGGAGGCTAGTTCAACACATATGTCTCACACATTTTCCAGCCGGCCAAACAAGACTGAAAAAAGGCCGCTGCTTGCCATATCACATTTACACTCAACTTGGCCACCTTCTCTTTATGTTGGCCCTTTATTTCTAAACTAGCGTCACGTTGAGTGACTTATTTAAAACAAAGATTACGTATTCAAATAAATTATAATGTAATTAATTCCTAAGCATGCTGATCAGAGTAATCTCAGTGATTTTGTATAAATAAAGAGATATATAGATACATTGTTTCAGATAGGTAATAAAGTGATGCATCTCTAGCAGCCACTTAAATGTGTATTACACTTCCTTTCATTTGAATATGTTAGTGATTGAGATCTCACCGCGTCTGCTTCCAGCTCAAAGTTTTCTCCGTTTCCGTTTCCATCCCACCTCTGCAGGACCTTCTCCCGGTGGTCCCCGTTCACCCGGGTTGCGCTGATAGACGTGTCAGTGAACGTGTCTAGACACACAAATGAGTCAACAATTACAACTCTCATAGACACTGTTATGCTGCCACCTCAAAAATATTTGTATAGCTTTAGACCACTTGGTTTGTCTTCACCACAATTTGGTTGACGTAACCTGATTTATTCTCAAAGTTTACAGCCATGCAGATGTTTTGAGTTAAGAGTATTATGGAGCAACCTGGATCTGATGTTGTTTTATTGAACATGTTTGTTGTTTTTTTTACTTAAGTTGTTTTCACCTCTGTAAGAGAGATGCCACATCAGTTGTGATTAGACGTAGAGTAACCAGACAAACTAGTTATAACATAAAAAATGTGACATCTTTAAAGAATTTAAAGGCTTACATAAACGTTTAAATCTTAACCTACAAGAAGAAAAGTTTTACAGTATTACACACCACAAATATAAATTCCTCTTGTTTTTTTTACCTCTGACAGCAAAGTTTAGGTCGACATCGCGGCAGGTCATGGTCACCAGGTCGGCGGGGCTAAAGATCATGGTGTCTGTGATATCTTCGATCTTGGGTTGAGAGGACTGGCTTCCTCCTCCTTCCTCGCCTCCTCCTCCTCCGTCACCATCTCCATTGCTCTGTTTATGGACAGCATCCACAGCCAGTTCACACTGAAGATGGACAGAAAAGTACACACTGATAAATCACGTAACTTGGATACAGAGAAAGTGAGGTGTTAGGAGGGTTCTTTTTTTTTTTTACCTGTGAGCTTAAAGTCTTAAAGACTCCCTCGTAGGCTGTGCCGTTTTTCACTCTCACATCACAGGTGGAGCCCTGAAAACCAGACCTGTTAGTGCCTTTGTATGTGGTGCTTTTAATAAAAAACTGTTCCGATTACAACTTCAGACAGACAAAACAGCTTACCACCACTGCTGTGAGGAAATGGAGCATTCTGGCATTGTTATAGACGCCATCAAATACCTGCAGATATACAGCTGAAATGAGTGTGTTGCATTGGTTAAACTGCCTCAACAGAAATCTGAGGCATTAATAGGTATGTTTATAGGAACAATACTAACTTTTACAAATATATTCATGCCAATATTTGCACTATAGTATATTATTTTTTATAATGTCTCAACAAAAAGAAAATGTTTCATACATTTTTGTGTACAGAAAAAACAAACATAATTTTACCAATTGACGGAAAATACATTTAAAGTCTTTGTTAGTGATGAATTAAGTTATTTGAAATACCTTCTTGAAAATGTGAAACTATTTAATATGTTGCAGGTTTTATTATCCCTCCCTGGCCATATCACATGTATTGTTTTACTTTAAATTGCATTTAGCTGACGCTTTTATCCAAAGCGACTTACAATAAGTGCGTTCGACCAACAAAGTACAAACTTGAAGAAAACAGAATCATATAAGTACATCTGGGGGGTATACTACGAAGCAGGATTTTCGCTTAGCCGGCTAACTTCAGGGAAAACTCGGGGTTTCCGGTCCTACAAAGCTGGTTCTCTTTTTAGCGGGCTAGATCTCCATGGTAACTTACGCTGTGCACTGCAGCTAACCTGGTCGGGAGCAGGTTAGGTTGCAGGCTAAGAGATCAACTCAGTGAAAGCACTGCCTGCTGACCAATCAGAGCTCAGTGTGCGGAGTTTAAAGCGATCAAGTCATATTACAGGAGAAAGGAAATACAGAAAAGCTGCCGTTGCAGGAAAGACGGCCGGCAAAAATCACCGACTGTGTGAACGTGAACATTAATAGAATATCACCTCCCATCTTCTGAGCAATCTGACTATTATAACATTAGCGTTAAGAAAGCTTATTTAAATATCAGCCACAACATAAGTAACCGGATCAGAGTAACATTAAGTAGGCTAAAGTCCGCGGCATAACACATCATAATCATATATCTCCTTATCTGAGTCAGCTGAGCTGTATCTGGCCGTGCAACACTCACAGTGTCACACACTCTATGCAGAAATATTATTTTAAGCAACACATTAAGTTGACGAAACACTCGAGTCAAATGTAATTAAAGTCAGACGTGTCTTAGACGGGGCAGTGATATCATAAACCTGTTAATGGACAAACACTTTTTCTTTTACCAGCTGTATTCACCTTTGCAGGTGCAGCTATATGTGGCTATCCTGGATAAAGTGTTTAATTCATGGATGTTTAAAGTTTAACTTCTTCATATTTGACTAATATTAAAGTTCACTTTTCATTCAGGAAGTATGACGCTGCGCTGTCAGTACGGTTGTCCATGTTTGTGATTGGTCGAATGCTCCTAATACCCCCCCTTTCATGTGAACGCGCACCTAACTAGATAGGGCACGGCTGGCTTGAGCAATCCACTTGATAACCCGCGTCGTAGTACCGTTTAGCGAGAGCGCGTATGTTTTGGATTAGGCCAACCGGCTAACTCAAACATATCCAGGTTAGGTTGAACCAGCTTCGTAGTATACCCCCCAGGTTTCATAGAGCTAAAACATTTCAAGTGCTACTCAACTGGTTTTAGATAAGCCAGTCCTTTATTAGTATACAAGTGCTTTGTTAATGGTTCTATCGCTCGAAGTGGAGTCGAAAGAGATGAGTATTCAGTCTGCGCCGGAAGATGTGTAAGCTTTCTGCTGTCCTGATGTCAATGGGGAGCTCATTCCACCATTTTGGAGCCAGGATAGCACTTTATTTTATCCATTATCATTTGTATGATTCTTCTGTTGTTTGTATTTCATTTTATTGTTGATTTATTCAATTTCTTCAACATTTATTTTAAGACTCTGGTAAAAATACTTTTAAAATTCCCATAAAAGTAGGGAACATGCAGGCCACCCCGGACCCCTTAGTTTTGGGCTGGGCCATGAATGCTAGCTCCGCCCCTGGTTCTAACAAGTACATTTTCTGAATAGAAACGCTCGGCTGTCACTACTTACTAAACTGCTTACAGGAGGTGACTGTGATGGAGGTTTCATTGTGTTCCTGGTCCTGCAGAGTGGAACAAAAATAAAAACAAACATCAGAGCTCTAGCAGCTCAAATCTGCTCCTTCAGTGAGAACAATAACACAAGCCTCTAACAGGCAACACAGCAACCTTTCTAGCTAGCAGGCGAGCAATTTAAACAATGACATGGCATAATTAGGTACAAATTAAATCGGCTAATATAATCTAAACTGTTTGTCTTAAGGGTAACATAGTTAAATATGATGATTGTTGTTCTATAAAATAGCAAAATTCGGCTAGCTAAGTCAGCTAATGGAGCTAGCTTGGCGTAGACGTCGAATGTTAACAACAGAGACACAAACGAACCGCTAGAAACGACGTCGGCATCACATTAGAAACTGACAGCTGAGCAATTCTTTAGTATTTAAATTATACTTTTTAGTCATGTGCATCCCTGATAATCCAGTCTCGTCGTTTCAGCAAAAAGTCACACGGTTAGTTTGACAGGCCAAACACGATACACCGCTGGAAAACAACAAAACACGGCAGCGGGTGCATTAGGTTTGTCCGGACCCGCTGCTGTCCATGTGATGAGGGTCGAATCAAGCTCCCGGGCAGCTTCCAGGAAATAGTCAAATCAACACAGATAGTTTGATTCAATAAAAACACTCCATTGTATTTAAAAGTGACCGCTTTTCAACCATGAAAGAACTCCCGGAGTGTGAATTTCCCCATCTATGAATGTACGCCCAAGAACCGGGCTCAGGCGAGGTACTGTAACGAACGCACCAATTGTAAACCCCGCCTACTAGTTTAATCCAAAACCTGATTGGGCAAATCCTTCTGTCAATACTTTCTGACCTTTTCTAATCATTTGTTGGTTTTCATGTCAATCATTTTTCACGACGGGCCGTAATGATTGAGGTCATGTAAGGAAACTGATGCTGCAGGATCTTTTTAATTGGTTTCAGTAAAGAAAAGTTAAATGAACACATTTTTAATATAAAAGGGATTAAAGTAAGTTTTATCCCCATAATAAGTAATACAATAATATTTTCCAAATTAATAGTCCAAATTATAAACATACAAAAAAGGGTTTTTAGTATATATTTAACCATATATCAAATCTTGATAAACTGACATTATTGACCTTGGAAACAGAGCACGCTCCTGTTCCTTTGAAAGAAGAAATTGTGTGTGCTATGCTGTTATATCAAATGTGTCATTTCAATTGTTGAAGACTGTGTAATGTGGTCGAAAGCCTTTTGTTTAGTTTGTCATCGTTTGTAATATTTAATACACTATTGGAGGCACTTTATGTTGATTTCCAACACAATGCAGCAGGAACCATATTTGTTTAACGCTGCAGGATAAAGAAATTCATTAAAAACATAAGTGCTGCATAACACTGCTTGTGCGTATGAAGAATAATATACATAAAATCCACATATCCCTATACAGCTTCTATGTGTTCCAGTAACCTGATGCCTTTTATACAGTAACAAAAACATTAAATACTCACTTGGGGGTCCACGGACAAAATCCTGCATCTTGGATCCAGTTTACACATAAACTCAGGAAAACGTATAACACTGATATACACCTAATATCAATTTATTCTGGGGCCAAAACTATTTGAAATGAAAAATAACACATTTAGTCCAAAATTATAAAGTTTGTATCTCCTTTTAAGCATGTAGAGAAAGAAAAATGGCAGATAAATAACAATTTAAGTTTCAAATGTCTGTTGGTATATTTTATAACGCCATTGTCATAAAAACAAAATCCTTTTTTAAAATAAATTAGTTCTATTTGATTTATTCAACTGAAAAGCTTTAAAACGGGTGTTTTTTCCACATTTGTCATACTAGTATAAAGTGATGACGCCTTAATGGGGCGCTGAGAAAATGCAGATACATGTAAATAAGCAAACTATGATGGTGTTAGAGGTTAAATAGATTTGTAGTTTTTGTGGTTAGACAAATGTTATAATATTTGTGCGGTTAGTTATTTGAGGTGCAAGCCTCCTTTTTTGTGCCGCAGTCGGAAGAGCCAACAAATATGTACTGAAGCAGAACATTCTGTCAGATCAAAATATGTTGTGCATTTTGGAAACTATTAAATATTTATTTTTCAATAAATGTTGACTTTTGGACTTTAAAACACTTTGGGGTTATTAGAGAGGTCTGAAACTATTATTTGCAGCCACCACTGTAATTTAACTAATAGCATAATACTAATAATAAAAGTGTAGCTCGTCTTTGTCTGACAGTGTTTACAGTTTGTTAAAACAAATAATTATAATAAAATTGTGATTTAAATTCAAAATTCTTCACAAATATTTGCTACAGCCCTAGCAGTGTAAATGATTTACTAGAAATAGCATTTAAAAAGGTGACGGAAGAAAAGAAAGACCACACCAACTTCTATGTTTCACTATATTTATATTATATCATTAAATTCAATGTAGTACCTGAAACTAACCACACAGGGAGGACAGACGACGCTGCCCGCCCTCAACACACGGTCCCAGCAAAGAGAGAAAAGAGACAGAGAAAGGCACAAAGAGTTTTGAAACTGAGAAAAGGACACTAAACATGATGATTAAGGTAAGGAAGGGGAGGGCAAGGGGAGGGGGCAAGGTGCGATATAGACAAATACATGAGCAAAACAAAAAAGACCGGTAGAAATGACTGGGTGGTTTATGTGGTGGATAAAGAAACGGGCAAAGCTCTAAACTGAACGATGAAGACAGAGCGACACGAACGCAGGCCGATGACGACAGACACAGAAAGGCACAAGTAGAAAAAGTAGGTATTCTCATTGAAATGTTTCTGCTAATTGTATTTTTTTTTCTTTACCCTTGATGAATAGAGAATGAGGTTGAGGAGGAGAGGACAGCATGAAAAGAGAGTAGCCTTGAGAATGAGGAATTCATGGCAAATCCTATATATACTTTTTTCCTTCTTTTTATCCCAAAAATAAAAAAGGCACAAACACAGTCTCAATTACAAGATGGAGTCGGAACAAGTGTTACATGGAGTAAGCATACAAAATAAAAAGGTGTCTTAAAAACAAATACAATTAATACTATTTTTCGGACCGTTATTATTATTATTATCATCATTATTATTATTTCCATCAATAATTATTGTTATTGGTATTATCAATAGTTTCTCTTTTGCGTCAGAGAGAAAAGCGAGAGAGAGAAAGAGAGAGAGAGACATTAACTGAGCAGCTGAGTGTGACTGAGGTAAAGGTTTCCTGCCTGCTCCGGTTTATGTGCCATTTAGACCCAAAACATTACATTACTCTGCTGTGTAACGCCAAACTCCATTGAAAAAATGTCCATTTCAGGACGCCTTGTGTCAGGGCCATCGCTAAAATAATGAATACAGCGCAGGGCGAGGGGCGTAATATTCGGAGAAAAAAAACTGGGAAATATTCAATAAAATATCAATAAAAATGAAAGTGGTTAAACTACAATACGTGAATATTTTTAGTAATACATTTACGAGAAAAAACATATTTTGGGGTGATTAAAATGGTATTGTCTTTTCCCAGGAACAAATTAGTTTTGTCTCATAAATTGACAACATTTATCTCTGGTAATATCCAAGTTATTTCTCTCTTACATTTTGGAATTTAATCCATGAGTTTTTTCTCTGAATATTGAACCCCTCTCCCCATTTTTTATTTATGGTACAATGGCCCTAATAAGCCACCATACAGATATGTTGTTTGATGAACTTCTATATTTATATATATTTTTTTCTGCTCATTATTTTTGTTTCACCAATATAGACAAAAATGGGCAAAATCGATGCTACCAACAATTCCCCCTGGTTTTGAAAAGTGACTAGCTTGCTTTTATTATACAATTGTTAAAGTGTGTAATCTATAAACTACTAGTCATATACTAACTTATTCTCTTTTTTTATTGAACAAATATATGTAATTAAATGTACCATAATGTAAAAATAAAACAAGCAAGCTGTCAAATGTTAGCTTGAACCAAGGAAATGTTCTTTGCTTGATAAATGGAAACATATTGAAACCACCATTAGTGTTATTATTAATATTACAATACATTCAATTATATATTATATTATTTATTAAGATTTCACATTGGTTTGGTCTTGTAGCTATTCCAATCAGCCATGAGCGTATCAAGTGTTCATGCTAATATATTTCTTTAAAAGTTAAAGGTGGGGTAGGTAATTTTGGAGAAACCAGCTCGAGTGCGCTAGAATTTGAAAATACACAGCCAGGGAAAATCTGCCATTTCCTTACAGAGCCCCTCCTCCAACACACACGAACGCAAACATGACCAATGAGGGCACGAGACAAGTTTGTGCACAGATGGAAGGCTCACAGACAGGTAGGCCATCCAGTTATTTTAGCCGGGCCGGCTGAAATGATAGGTCGTGCTTTTTACAGCATTCCAGAGATGAACTTTTTTTACGGATTTTTTGTCAAAGCACTAAAGATATTCATTGCTATCGGGATGTTAAGAGCATTCCATGGAATATCACCACCTTTAACTTCTATATTTTTCCAATTTTACAGAATACAATTGTGTCAACCATTTTTGAAATTAGTCCAGTATTCAGCGCTTCAGTATTTGGGCAGCAAAAATGAATGCATTATTTGTTAACTATTCAAAGTATTTCTAACTATTTCCATAATCGATTAATCGGTCTGAATAATTTTTTGCAAGAAAAAAACGTTTAAATTCTCTAATTACAGTTTTTAAATATAAATATATTCTAGTTTCTCTATGACAGTAAATTATAAATGTTTGAGCTGTGGACAAAACGAGACATTTGATCGACATTTTCCACTTTTTTCTGACAGTCGAAACAATTGATTAAATTATTTTCATTGTGGATTAAACTGTAGATTATAATGTTTAGTTTTGAAAAAGTTGGCTCAGATTGTTATACGTTTCTGAAAACATTATGGAAAGTATCCTACAGAGGAAAGTGTCTTTCTTTACCTTTACAGTTATCACGTTATTGTGTCCTGTGACTTGTAGAAATAGAGTGTACTCAAAGGAATACTTAGCTGATTTCAACAATGTGGATGCAACATGAGATTTCAGAAAGTGACTCCTCCTTGAGTGAGACTTTGTTAGACACAACAGAGTGCATCAAGGGGGAAATGTAAAGAAAGACATTATATTTATCTACAGACTGCTTCTATATTGTTGTCAGATGTTTAAAATAACAACCTGAGCCTGAGTCAGCGTCAACTCAAACTTTAAGTGGTAGACATTGATGGTGCAGAATCGCCTGATAGGAAAATGCAGTAGGGCTGCAACTAACACTAATCATCTTTGTCGATTAAGTTGTCGATTAGGTGAAAATAGTGAAAGATGATAAATGTCTTGTTTTATCCACAACTCAAGGATATTCAGTTACAGTCTTTATTGGAGCAAAGAAACAAAAAGGCATTTCAATTTAGGAAGATGGAATCATAACATTTGGACTTTTTTCTCCTTCTCAAACTGACAAATCGATTATCACAACAGTTGACGATTCATTTCATATTTGACAACTGATAGATTAACCCTTGCAGCTCTACCCATAACGCTCAAAAGTCAACTAATGTCATGACTGTTGTCTCCATCAGTCGCAAAAACATGTGACCACAGAGTCCGGGTTGAAAAATACCAAAGACGCTACATTCAGAAGCTTTCAATCTGTATAATTTTTAAAAGGAGCCTGCTGTGTACCAGTAAGTAGAGTTTTGGGTCTACCTGCCACAGTGCAGATGTGTGTGAGTGTGTGTTTGGCCTCTGGTTTGACTTGGCAGGACCGACGTGAGGTATCAGGTCTGCTGGCTCCACAGCGAGAGAGAGCCCGCTGCGATTCGTACCGGCAAAAATCAAAGCTTATTAGACTACAAAAAAATTAAAACAAGTGTACCGCTAGTTAGTGTCGTAAAGCTGCTTCCGCCTGTCTCTCCCGTCTGCTTTGTCTCCTCTCTCTCTCGTTTAGTGTTAGTACTTTTACCTCCTTGTCCTTCTCCTCCGTTTCGCCTCCAACCTTGCTAATAAAATAAAAATACTGGTTATGAATGGCTATGATTTACGCCGCCTCATCCAATCTCACGCTCGCTCACACACAAACACAAACGCACATACACACTCCTCCTCCTCCTGCTCCCGCTCTTGCTCTTCCCTTCATCAGAAGAAGGAGTACTGGTTGTCGACGGCTCGGGGCGCCCTCGCTCCGTCGCGCTCCTCCCCCTCCCCGGCTTCCAGCTGGCGGAGAGGAGTGTCCCGCTCCTCCCAGTCCTCCACTCCTCCCCCACTTCCACCGCCGCTGCCTCCACTTCCGCCGCCACTTCCTCCTGCTGTCGTCGCCACGGCCGGCGCCCCCCCCCCTCCTCCTCCTCCTCCTCCTGTTGCTGCACTTCCTCCCACCGCCATTGGCTCCGCCTCGTCAGCTCTCTCCTGAGGGGGAGTCGGGGGTGGCGGACGGCCTGGAGGCAGAGGAGGAGGCAGCGGGGGGCTACGGGGTCTGCTGGTCAAGTCTGCATGGAGAGGAATTAGACGAGAGAAAAAGAGAAAAAAAACAAAGAGGGGTGAAATGAGAGAAAAGTGGAAATAAAGGAGGAGGCAGGAGGAAGAGGAGGAAATGAGGACAAAAGTGACAGGAAGTGACAGCGTAGTCGGGGGAGAGGAGGGCGGGAGAGAAGAGAGAAAGTGACAGTGAGTGAATGTTAGGTGGAGAGGTCTGCGGTCATGGAGTCCATGGGAGTCATGGAGCCAGTCAATTTCAAGGAGCACACACACACTCACACAGAGTTTATTAAGTGGTGGGCAATGTACGTTAGCCCCGAGAGAAAACATAAATATCTTCCGATGCGTTTAAGTCTGATCGAAATGATTAAATAAGTTAGTTTTTGTATGTCTGTGAAGCATGATCCTTTAGCTGTGAAAAACAATAACGCTTGGAGCTGAACATTTCTTCTCAGAATCTATTGTTGTTGTAATGCTCATAGAGGCCCGAGGAGGCCTACCTGCACCACTACCCCATGTTCAAAGTATTATATTAAAAGCTATCATGTTTTTTCCACGTACGTGTTCATTTTTTCATGAGCTCTAAACAAATGGAATATGTCCATCTCCATGTTTGATATCATGGTTGTCATATTAGACTTACAAGTATTATAACAAACACTTGGTTATTGTCATATTCAATTTATCTGCTGATTATTTGATCGACTCATTGTTCGATAAATAAATATATAAAGTGAATAATATTCTTAATAATAATAGTTTGCGATTAAATTAACTGTAAACTACAAAACTAAATTGACTACATTTAGCAAGGTGTTGCTGTAGTATGTGTGAACAAGAGTCTAAAATACACAAAAAAAGTGACGTTTTACAGAATACTTGTAGACTAGGCAAAACATATGTTATATTCCAGTCTCTGTCAAAAGTGTAAATCTGAATGTGAGTCGCCAAATTCAGATTTTTTTGTGTTGAAATCAAAGGTTACAAACCTGTTGTGAGAGAAATATGCCCGTTCTAACTAAGCACATCAAATATGTCCCCACTCACTCCCAAACACCCCCCACTCTCTAAGTTTCTCTCAGCTGAGTCTGGTCTCACTTACACACAGTCAGAGATGGGGGTTGATGGAGAGTCAGGATGGCGCGTGGTGATGACATCACAGACTGTAGGCCGACTGCCTGCCCTGTCGCGGCCTGCAAAGGGACGAGCCAATGGATACACATAACATCAGAGAGGTGAGACAACACATGGGCAGAGGGAGACGCTGCAGGGGAATAATCCTGCATTCTACTTGCGCCACTTTTATTGCACTCTTTGTTCTTTTAGCTATTTACCTGCAATGAAGGATGAAAATATAATATAATAATATATAATGTAATGCAGTTTCAATGTTGAAACAAAATCATAGAAATGTAAGTATGAGTAGTGACATCACTATGTAACACTTGCGCTTCTATTGGCTCGCGCTCCAACACATTATAAGTGTTAGGTTAAGGGGCGGGATCTCTTTAAGCAGTCGACCAATCACAACCAAGCCGGCCAGATAACCAATCAAAGCAGACAGGGCTCTGGTTTCAGACAGAGGGTGAAAAGAGGTGCTGCAGCACAGGCAGTATGAGAAAAACCAAGAGCTTTTTGAACATTAAAGCATGGAGACATGTCACAGTGGAGACACTACATACTGATATGAACGTGAAAGTGAATCAGACACTAATGGTGCAGCACTGTATTTTTTCAAAGGTTGTTTTTGCTTCAAAACATGTTCTGTCCCTGTCAGGTACTTTGGTTAAAAAAATATTTTGAAGGGGGAACACAACTCTGTTTGTACACTGGTTTAGACCTGAGTAGGGATGGGTATCGTTAGGATTTTATCGGTACCGGTACCGCTTATCGGTATTTTTCGATACTCTTATCTATACTTTCCAATAATTTGGTGCTCAAAATTATAGACATGAATACAAGATGTGAAGATTAAACAGTAATTGAAATAACTGTATAACTTATACATTAGCTTCTCAGAAGCAGACACAAATAAATAAAAATAACTTAAAGGGGCCTGGCTCGCCCTATCATGCTTTTTGGGGTTTTCCCTCAGACAGAGGATGAAAAGAGGCATTTTTTTAAACATTTTTTAACATTTGTAAATCATTTACATCTTCATCCAGACATTTCAAACTGACAATCGAGCTCAACAAGAGATCCTTAAAACATTGTCCTACAGTGACATCATGCAAAACTGTGATATGAAGAAATTGGTCAAAAGGCTAAGATGGCAAAAAGATAAAGGAGAGTATGTATATTATTCTGGATTGTACTTTTAAATCATCACAAAATAAATGATGTGCTGAACTGAAACACGTCAAAATGTGTCTGAAGGTTTAAACATAGAACAAAGTATTTGAGCTTAAAATATGTCAATTCCTAGTAAACGACCAACAATTGCTGAACCATACATTAGGCGAGTTCACACCAAGTACTTTTCCCACAAAGGTTCCTGAGAACTCTTTAGTTCTCATGAACTAAGTACA